ATTGTACTTTCTCCTATATTATTTGTTAGCGATTCGTGCACTTGCATGAGAGACCAACAACAAGTTTGTGTGAGAAATCCCCTCCAACGACACCAAAAACTTGTAAGGGACATGATTTCGGCATGAATGTTGAATTTTGAGCACTTTATCTTTTACCTTGAATTGTTGTGAAAATCTGGAGAAGGTTTATATTGATATAAAATTTATTTTATGTTAAGAGTTCTAGAACTTGCTTGATTCTCTCTCGAGGTGAAATCTTAAGCAATACTTAGTTAGGAACATGATTTAGGTTATCTTTGGACCGTTTAAGCCTAAAAGCTAATCTTGTTAAATCTTTATCCCTAGTAAACCCCTTTGAGCTTAATTGCCCTTTTTGGTTCAACCACATAATAATAAGCCTAGCCTTTTAAAATAAAATTTCTAATTTTGCAACTCTCATTCATAAGCATTTGGCAGAAATGTGATGTTAAAGTGGAAAAAAAGTTCAAAATATTAAAAATTACCTCACCACTTACAATACAAAGAAAATAAGTTTAAGGGTGTGAAAATTGTGAAGTTGTGAAAAACAATGTAGAATAAAGTATTGAATAAAAGAAAAGTTCAAATGTGAAAGAAAAAGTGTATGTGGAGAAGGAAGATAAAACTTTATATATAAATCCTAAAATAATTATGAGCTTAGGGTGATTTGAGCCACATTATTATCTTTTATCCTACCTTAACTCTAGCCATACATTACAAGCTTTATAAAGTCCTATTAATCCTATAGTACAAAAAAAAAAAATCCTATTGATCCCCAATTTGATGTTAAGTCTACTTTAGTGGAGAGAAAGATGAAAAGTTAACCTATGGAATTGGAGTACTAATTTGAATTTTGTGTTGGCATAAACTCATTTGGATACCATGATATTCTTCAGAAAAGATTTCACACTCATACTAAAATCTATTCAAGAATGTGCATGCATTGGAATTGACACATGAATTTGAATGATGCCTATATTTTTCCCTAAGTTGGAGATAGATAAACATACTTTTGAGGAAATTATGGGAGATCATTGATAACTCTATTATATAAAGTTATTTTGACACATTTTAGGGGCTTTCGTATGTAGATGTTTGAGATTTTAGGTTCGGATTATAACATTTTAGGTAATTTTTTAGTTTAAGTTTGATTAGTTGTTAAGTGATTAATTTAAATTATTTTAGTTTAATTTATATTATTTTGTTTTAAATTACTTTAAAAGTAGTATTGCTAATTTCTCTTATTGCTTTTGTAAGAAATTTGATAAAAATGACTTATTTGATGAAACTCCGTGCAAATATCGTGGTAGCTTTATTTGTATATATTTTGGTATTTTAAAAATATCTCTCTATACAGAACTCCAAATGAAGTGATTCTTAAACCACCAGAATAATAAGAGGAAGGGCTACAACTTTCATGTTTACCACTTTGCTTACTTTGGACTAGATCAGGATGAAAATTAAGTTCAAATTTGATAGACCACTGTAACGATGGGAGAATAGGGTTGCAGGTGAAAGGAAGCACACAACTCATTTTCTTGAGAGCTCAAAACCGTAGCACTGAAGAAGTAACACCGCAACACTAAGCAATTTTCTAAAAATAAAAATTTGACAGGATTTGGGAAATTAAGTTACTTGGAGCCTATTTAATGGACCTTTTTTTAGAGATTTTAAGAGGAGGAAGCAAGCAATTATTTTGGAGATTTAGAGTCAAGAACAAAGCAAGAAAACAAGAGAATTTGAGATAGAATTGAGATCATAAAGCTTCATAATTAGTTTTTTTTCTCTACTTTTGTGTTTCTTTTATTTTCTTTGACTTGGATTTACAGCTAAATTTCTTTGAATGTTGTTTTTATTAAATATGATGAGCTAAACTATTTTTCTAGGATTGTGGGTGGATTTTAACATGTAGTTTGAATATTAGTTTCTCTTTTATTTATCATGAATGAGCATAGTTTTGCTTATTTAAATCTATTTTTAATACTTTTGATTCTCTGGCCAATAATTAATTTTAAAATCGACTTTAGTTTTGAAATGACAAAATTCATTGATTTAAATATACCTTGAAACTAAACGAAAATGCTTTTGAACTTGAAGAACAATCCATAAAGCGTTTTGAAGTTATTTGTGAAAAGAAAATTTTTTTTGAATACTTTTAACCTTAAGTTCTAGCTAGTAATATCAACTTCTCAAAGTGAAATAACGATTCTTTGCAAAACAAAAGGTAATATCTCTTTTGTGGAACATGAAGAATCGACTTTGTTAGAAGGGAAACACTGATTCTTGAAGAAAAATAAGCTACTGAAATAAAAAGAATTGATGACTGAAGAAGTAATGGCCAATTCTTGAGAAGGTAGAAGCAATTTGGAAGATCACTACAAAAACAAGAATGACTTCTGAAGCACTCAATGATTGATTCTCAGAGCTATCAAGACAAAAATTAGAAACAAGTTGAAGAAGAAAAGATGGAGAATAGGACAAGAATGGAGCAAGAAAAAGGAAAATTTGAATTTTTATTTTGGCACCCAAGTGATAAAAAGAATTGACTACTCAAATATGCAGTGATTGATTCTCACAAAAAAGATTGCTCCAGACTTGAAAAGAGCCAGGAAAAATAGACTACTCAAGAATATAATGATCAATTTTCAATCCATGGGACGCTCTAAACTCAACTTTAGGCAAGAAGAATCGATATTACAAGAGTAGAAAGGTCGATTCTCAAGAAACAAAAAGGCTCAGGTCATGAAAGAATTGATGTCTCACATGCCCACTGATTAATTCTTGAAGCTCGACTGGCAGAATTTTAGTGGTCTCAATGTTCAAAAAGGAAGCCAAATCTCATTCCAACAGGCATAAATGTTAAAGACCTATAAATACCTTCCTATAAAACATCATTTGTAAGAGAGAACACTTAAAAAAATCATTCTAAGAAAAGAAAAAAGTCAAGATCTTTAAAGTTCATTTTTTTCTCTCTCTATTGCATTCTTTCAATAGAGCCTTCATCTTTGAGCTTATATTCTCTTAAATATTCTCATCCCTTTGTACCTAACAGAGCTCATTAGCCTTTTGAGGACTTAAGCTTTTGTAAAAATTCATAGTGGTAAGGTTATACCTTCATAGCAAAAGGTAGAACAGTTATACCTCCATAAAAAAGGTAGAAAGATTGTGTTTGCTCCTAAAAGGTAGTGATTTGTAAAGGTTATACTTGATCTATGAAACATAGTGACTTAAGGTTGTGTTTGATACATAAAACGCAATGACTTTTATAGAAACAATATTTATAACTAATTTGGTCGTTTACAATTTTTTTTAGTAGCTAGTAGAATCAATTCTTCTTCACTTTTCAGATAGGCAATATACAAATATACTATTTATCTTACTTTATTTTTCCTTTTTCTCATCTATTTTTAACGTATATGACTGCAATATCTATTAAATAATTGAATATTTTCTATTTTAATTCTATGTTATTATGTTAATATCTATTAATTGGAATATTTAATTAAATAATGAAGTATTTTTTTTGTTTCACTTTGATTATTTATACTAATGACTTTATTATTATTTTTGATTTGCAACATTACAGCATAAATGACTTTTAACGACATAGTTTTAGCTGCGTTTTCACTTTTGCATCTAGAGAATTTATCACTGTATTTAGGGTTAAAGATTTAGCTACATATTTTTATTTTGCAACCCATAAAAAATTAAATACCTTTGATGTTTCTTTATTTTAATTAAAAAAATAGTCCTCATAAGTCTATTTTCCCACATTTTTTCTCTTTCCTTCTAAATTTAAAATCCTTTAAAATGTAATATATATATATATATATTGAGACAAAATCTTCCAATATTCAAACCCTCAAAAATTTTCCATTCCTTCAAAATATGGCCCAAAATCCTTTTGTTGTTTGCCTTCTCCCAAAATCAAAACCTTAATCCCAATTCCTTCATAAATTTTCTTCTTTTGTAAAGCAAGATGTAAGGTTCCTAAAGCACCAAAGGTGTCTTCTTTAGAAAATTGGCAATTACATAAAGAAAAAACATCAGCCTTCCTTGTTAGTGTCTCCTTTTTCCTTTCCTCCACACCCCTTCCTTATTTGAGAAACTTGAGACTCGAAAAGCCTAAAAAACCTTCCTAAAACCAAAAATATTCCTTAATCTGGTCAATTTCCCTATTTTTTTACAATGATTTTTCGTTTTTGGGGTTTCTAAAAAAAAGGTTTTGAATATTAAATCTAGGGTTTTTTTATGATTTTAATAAAAGGGTTTTGATCTTAAACCTAGGATTTTCCTTTTTGATTTTTTCTAAAGATTGTGTTGCTTCCATGTTGGTTTATTGTGTATTTATATTTTCTTTAGTGGGGTTTGATTTTCTCTCGTTTTCGTTTCTCTCTCTCCCTCTATATATATAGTTTGTGGATTGACTTGAATTTAAATTACGTCGTTTTTTTCTATGTTTTCCTTTTCATTAATTTTTCTCTTTCTTTTATTTTCTACTGGATGGCAGTTAATGGTTTTTGTTTTGTCTCTTCGATTGTAGGAGTGAGATAACTTTGGTTGCTTGAAAATCTGACATTGAAGGCGAACTTGATCCTACAAAATATTCAAATTTGATCAAGATGTTGAAAGATGAAGACAGTGAAGGCAATGCTAGAAAAGGTACCAGCTATAGTAGAGCCTTTCTCTAGCTTACCATGTCACGACCTAACCCCGAGGTCCGTGATCGATGTACAAGTTTGACAGGTGAAGCTTGTGAAACTCATGCAAGTCTTAGAATTCTAATCATACGCACATAGCTAAGGGTTTCTAAATCCACATATTCACATAATATTTAAATTCAAATACACAGTTGCTCTTGGCACATTGTTCATACACAATATTTAATACAATATCCATAAAGCCATACATTAGCAAGCAAAACGGGTTCATACTTTGCAACTCTTAACACAAGTTCAAATGACACATCATGCCTACATACAAAATAACTAAATTGATCTCCAAAGGTGAAAGCTCATGACAAACTCAGTGGAGTAGACATGCCAAGATGGGGACTTACTAGATGCCAAAATTGGTCTGTCAACAGATGACCCTTGCTACGTAGTCTTGTGGCCTATTTATCTACACATGGTACAACAAATGAGTGAGTCATTTAATACTCAGTGAGAGGTGTAGATAAATCAAACACACACACACACATATATATTATACACATATAAAAATATTACACTATTAGTGCAAACAAATGTTCTAACAAACATCTCCAATGTTAAGGGCATATTAATCATTCCTAGAAGTCTCCACAAATAGTATATCATCAGGTTTACCCTTAAAGCCATATCAAAGTGAATATCATTAGGCACACATTAGTTGCTAAGGTATTATATCAATTTCAAATAATTTTTATTTAAGCCTATTCGAGGCTATGTCGTATCACTTACAAGTGAAATCACAATTGTGAAGTGGTCTTCCCTTGGACATCATCAAATCACATATGGTGGCCAACTGATGGAGTCAAATCACGCTCAAGGCTAAGCCGTTAGTAAAAAATCAAATCACTCGCTTGCTGAGGCAATAGGCCGAGAATCAAGGTCATCATCTAGAGTAACCTCCTAGTGGATGGCATCACTTGAAGTCATCTCGAATAGGTGAAATCAAAGTATTACAAGTGGAAATCATAGGCAAAACTAATACCACTGTCTCTAATTACCACCATCCTTACAAGCACGCAAAGTCTCAAGGCGAAAGACTCCATTCAACCTTAAATCGAATCAACATTCGGAATTCTCATCATCGGACGAAATATGAATCCACAAACAAGACCATCATGCCTTTAATATCATATATATCCATAAATTACATCATAAATCACATTTCACAAGCTTCAATCATTTATAATCTCAATATAGTTCTATATGCCCTTAAATCTCTAAGTCATCAAATATTCAATATCTTTTAAAATCATTTGTCTTGAGTAATTTACTCGTAGATGATAACTTTATTATATAGAGTTATTTTGACACATTTTGGGGGTTTAAGTAGCTAGATCTTTGAGATTTTAGGTTCTAATTTTAGCATTTTAGGTGTTTTTCTAGTTTAAGTTTGATTACTTGTTAAGTGATTAATTTAAGTTATTTTAGTTAAATTTTATGTTGTTTTGTTTTAAATTACTTTAGAAGTAGTTATTGCTAATTTCTCTTATGGCTTTTGTAGGAAATTGATGAAAAAGGCTCATTTGATGAAAATCATGCAAGTATGGTAATGGCTTCATTCATATATGTTTCAGTATTTTGACCATATCTCTCTCCACAAAATTGCAAATGAGGTTATTCTTAGACCAATAGAATTATAAGAAGAAGGGCTACAATGTTTATGTTTACCAATTCACCCAGTTCAAAAATATGATTGTATTCATCTCATTACCCAATAAAAAAAATATTTGGGAGTGTAAAATTGAGAAAAAGAAAAAGGGAAAGAGTAGACGTTCATCACATTCACTAGACCTCCTAGTATAAACTCAAACATCATAGACCACTATATGACTTGCACTAAAGCATACAAAACAACATATAATCATATGTATTTTTGTTCTCTAGCCTATGCACATTCCTCTATGCAATTATATACATACATAAATTTCTAATCTACTACCATGGTAGCGCCTTTATCAAGGCGTCATGCATCACATGCATTTTAATTAAATCCACTCACAATGACAATCGGTGGCGTGCCTACAACCATGCTTAAATTCTCAGCTTCCAATCATCCTTCAGCTCACAAATGAGTTGATCATCTCCAACTTCTCCTTAAACACATCAAAACATTACAAAAATATTTATTTCCTAGCTTTCGAAAATACCTAGCTTTTCAAAAATAACCAAATTCAATATTTAAGCTCAATCCTTCAACAATGAGCTAAATCCTTACCTTAGATACTGGGTTGCCCAAATCTTAGCTCCAAATCCCCAGCAAACTCAAGGGAGGAAAATTTTACTAAAGCTAGACCAAATCGATGCTAACCTGATTAAATTGAAAATCAATTGGTAAAAAGGCATAATCTTACCTTTAGAGGAGTTTCCCAAACTCCAGCTTACTCTAAATAGCTCCAAAAATCAGTTTGGGAGGTTAGGATTTTGGTGTTTAGAAAGAGAGGGTTTTTTTCTTTTGTTCTAAGGCAAATGACGCCTTCAGTTCCTTTTATTTTTATGTTTTGAGGTGATCTATTGATAGATGGGAGGCATCTATCAATAGATCCCTCTAAAAAGTTTAGACATTGACTTTCATCTATCGATAAATTCCTCAAATCTATCAACAGATTGTGCCCTAACCCTTTTTCTATTTTCCTCGTTTAGCCATCTATCAATAGATTATGTGAATCTATCGATAAATGCTTCTCACTTGGTTTGCATTAATTTTGTATGGCTATTTATTGATAGATTTCACAGATCTATAGATAGTTTTCGGGTTTCTTTGCTTTACAAAGTTCTCGGGTGGTTATCTATCGATAGTTAAGAGAATCTATCGATAGATGTTCATCCAAGGCTTCTATCTCTTCATTTATCGATAGATAATTCCCAGATTTGATATATTTTTTTCTCCAAGTCTCCAAATTCGTCCCTAAAACCTCCAATTCACTTTCCCTCAATCAAAACACGTCAAATCATTCATATTACTCAAAATCCTTCATACATACAACCAAGTATATGATCAAATCTTGATCAAAGTGTCAAACTTTAAGATTTAGCAAATATATTCATAAAAATTTGCCAAAGTGTCCTCAGGCATGCTTCCATATACTCAATCATATTTAATCTATCATCAAAGTCCTCAATACACAATATAGTTCATAAATATTCTCAATTTATTTTGTTTACACCAACAAATCAAGGTTTTACATACCAAATAAGCAAATTATATATATTAATAACTAACAGTTTTCTAAAAATATTCCAATTTAATCATAAACAGCAAAAAGGTTTAGTAGATATGAATAAAGCTCTTCTTGAATAATTTAACTTATTGCTGTGGATTCAGCTTTGCTTTCTGTGCTATTGCCATAAAGTATGAAATAATGAACACTTTGAATCACTGTCTGTCTTTCATGGTTGACATATCAGAATTTAATGAAAAGTCAGGGTCTGCAATCTTTAACCTTCTTTGTTATAAGTCTTCATTGTGTTACGATTTGTCTTTTACTGACTAGTTGTTATTGTTTTTTACTAATTTCTTGTTACCAATTTTCATTGTCCTAGTTGAAGTTTAAAAGAATTATGCTGTCTGCTACGCCTTTGTCCCCAATGTTCATGCTTTAGCAAATGTAAGTAAGTAGAGGTGGCTTATGCGTTAATGACATTGTTAACATGCATCGTTGGAATTTGCAAAAGTAGATATGCATACATAGGCCAAGCATCTCTTGGACACCTTTTAGCTAGTATTTATTTCAATTTCCCGAGGAAGAACTTTTATGAGCACACTTGAAGACACAGATATACTTCTTGCTCTTGGTCTAATATCACAATCAACTTTTAGAAATTTCAAATGGGGTGGCTCCTTGAATGATTTGAATGCTTTCACGAGCATAAATATTTATGTGATGTGATGGGATGAATTTACCGTTATTTAATTGATACATAATAGTCTTGTGCTGTTCATCTTAATGTTTTATTTTCTTAGATAACCTCTAATTATAAACATCATGTGGAGAAACTTACTCATACAGGTATTTTTTCTCTTGGGTCCTCACAATATGACTAATTATTTTTTCCTACTGACTTTGCACTTCTCATAGCGGTATGTTCTCTCGCAGGTTTATTTGATCAAGAGTTGTTAACTCAAACCACAATCTGGGAAAATAGTTTCATGGTTCCCTGTTGTCATCATCTTTTCACATGTCATTTTAGGCTTTTTATCAAGTTATTGTCCTCCTCGCACTCAACTTTGCAGGCTTGATCATTCTCCATTTGGAGGATGACGGAAACAGGGAACATGCTTTTGAATTGAAGAATACTTTGAAGTTCAATGCAGTTGTCATGTCTCAGGTAAGTACTGGGTGACAAGTCTAAAATTCTGGAGTCGATATTTGGATTTACTATTATTATTTTTACTTCATTGATTCGATTAAAGGTCTTCTTTATTCTAATCTTATTTGATTATTTTTATGAGGAGACTTTTAATTAATGCTGAAGCATACTTAATTGAACCATATTTGCATTTAGTTTTAATAAATCTCAAATTGGATCTCAAATTGACAAGTTAGTTTGAGCTTTATTCTAGTCATTGAAATATTAATCTTATAGAACCGACTTTGAGGAAAAAAGAATTTGCAAACAGGGAGAAGACATTCTGATTTATAAGGTGGGTTGGTTCTCGCAGTGTGCACAAGGTAGGTAAATGCAAGGATTGTGGGAAATTAGGAAGCATGTTACCAAGGGATGGGCCTGTGAATGATTACTATTCTACTCTGTTGTGTTCTCTTCTTGTTTCTGTTTAGGATTCATTGTCCGTGAGATGAGATATTCTTACATACCTGAGTGGGTGTAGTCCTAGTGTTATAGGATTATATTAGTTCTCAATAAGAGAATTATTTAGAAATAGGTGACATCGAAAGTTTAATTGAAAGAAAAAAGTTAAACAGGAAAAAAGACAGCTTTATAGGGAAATGTATACAATTTAGGGGAACCTTTTTAAAGAAAAAAAAAATCTTACCGAACTCAAATATGAGTTTAAAGGTATTTTATTGATAACTAGGCATACAATAAAGTTCAATCAATAGTGAGAAAAGCAAAAAAGAAGCAGGTGAAGGATGAGTTGGATTGTATTAAACAAGCTGAGAAGGAAAAGAGGCACTTGAAGGAAGCCCTTGTCGCTTCTGCAGCCATCCGCTCCTATTGTTCTATGGATTAGGGAAGAACCAATAAAGTAATTAGGTTGTTTTCTTCTTCTTTTTTTTTTTCAATCACTAACCCAAACATTTTATGACATATGATTGAAAGAAAGGAAACAAATCATTTTTATTTATTAATATCACCTTATCTGTCATGTGATAATGATTTTATAAAAATTTTTCGTCAGCTTATCACGTGGCGCAATAACATGACATAAAAGTTTCAAATGTATAATTTAGTAATGAAATTAATCAGCAGTTAATGAAATATATTTATTTGATTTAAAATAAAAGTTTAACAGTTTAATTGAATGTAATAAAAAATATAAATTTAATTAATTTTTTTAATTTAATTCAAAATTTTATTTAAATATTTAACCAAATAACTTTTAAAAATCCTATTAGTCCTATAAAATTACTACACATTAATACTTCTCAGAGAAGTTTTGCTGTACGATATTGTCTAAAACTTAGATAAGTTAAAAAGTCTCACACCTTATTCTTACTTTGTTCGTAGAAAAGTCTTCCTATAAGTTGGATCAATGTCCACCTATTAAGTTGGGACTAGGGACAGGAGTAACGACATAATGTTGAAATTTTATTACATAAGATATTTGTATTATAATTAATAGTAATTATTTGGTCAAACATAACGTATTAACAACTGAAATCAGGGAGAAGCTAACCCAAAATGGCAACATTTTATTGTTTTGTTACGCTAATTCTGTAGACCAAATCCCCAAAATGAATCCCTTAGCCTAACAAGTTATCACATTTTGATGAAACGTACTTTCACTAATAAAAAAAAAATATTCTTTTGTTTTCCATTCTTTGAACACTGGCAATATTTGCTTACCATACCAAGAGAAAAGGAAAAGAAAGAAAATTAGAAAGATCAGATATCAATCTGCAAGAGAAAGGAAAAATATTCTTACATGGATTTAATTTAGTTACTATGCAATAAATCAAATTAAAATTGAAAGACGCTTACCAATGAATCATCAATTTGTTTCTAAAAAAATATTGATTGCAAAAATTTCTTCAACACACCATAAAATCTCACCAGGACAATGGCAATTTCCAAGCACTTTGATATACTAGGTATTCCCATGGAGACCAGAACATCAAAAATCCTCATGTTTTGGTTGGTTGTGACATGCATTGCAGCGTCAATTGTTCCGTTTGGATCTGCTCAGGAGGAAATCCAGGATCTGGTGGAATGCCTTTCGTCTTTCACAAGCGTAGAAGGTTGTATCGAGGCAATCGACAAGGCTGTTTCTGACAAGACCTTCGGCGATCTTGGACCTGTTTGCTGCGAGGCAATCACCTTGCTCGGTGACCATTGTTGGCCCATTGTTTTCCCACACCAGCCATTCGTTCCTTTCTTACTCAAGACCGTTTGTAAACTTGTAGGGAATGTTGAGAAAGTTGCAGCTGCTCCTTACTAGTCTTAACACCTTTTGCATATATTTTCAGCTTATGAAATTTATGCAAATGGGTTATGTCTTATGATGATTCTTTCTTTTTGTTTGAAGCAAAATGAATTTCATTAATCATCAATAGACAGTACATTTAGAGGAGAATCAACATAATAATATAAAACCTCTCCACCCATTAAACTTTGTTACGACCCTAATACATGAATTTAGAACCTTGTTAAAAACCTTTCCAAGGAAAAATCCAATGGGAAAAAACAAAAAATAAGGAAAAGAGTACTCTAAAAACATGTATTTCTATAGTCTCAAAGCTCTACAATCGGTCCCTATCTTCTACTTCCTATAACCCAATCTAATCTTGACTCTTAAGATTAGTTTTGGCAAAGCCTCCAAACTTGTCCATATAAGCTGGTCCTTCTCCTGCTGCATCATCCTTCCCAATTTTGCAATTGAATGAGTGCAACGATTAGTTTGCCTTGCACAATGTGATGCACCAATGCACCTTAGTTGCTCCATAAGCAGTCCTCAACAATGTTCCCCGCACTTCCGTTATAACCCTTCTCTCGCAGCAAGCCAACAACCACTCTACTGTCCAGCTCTACCTCCTTTACATCTAAGTTTTTTTGACAGCCCACATATAAAGACCAGGCGAAGGCTTCAATTCAACTTCGGCCATAGAAGATCCATGCCTGAATTTTTTAACCCCAACTAAACGCATCCTCCCTGCTTCACTTCTAACCACAAAACCAACACTCACCATTTTCGTGCCATTTACTTCAAAAATTGCAACACCTGAATTGATCTTCAAACCATTGGGGTGAGCCCAAGTATAAATTCTTCTTCTCTCCAAACCATCACTCCTCATCGAATAGGTGTTAGCTAATCGATATTGTCGCACTTTATCCATGTCCATCTCTACCACCATCGTTGGATCTAGCTTTTGTTGTTTGAATATGAGCAGGTTTCTAGCCTTCCATATAGCTCATAAAATTCCCACAACCTCTTCAACATTTTCTTTATCTAACTAATCACAGACCATTTGATAAAATTCTATAATTGACCCAAAGTGGTAGCATAACTCACAAAAGGCCCACTTTAACGTAATCTATATAGCCCGAGCAAATTGATAGGTGCGAAGATAATGCAAAAGAGTTTCCAATTCCGCTCCACAAAATGCACAACCAGATTCCACATTAATCCTTCTTTGTATGAGGGCTTCCTTTGCAGGCAAAGCTTCCTTTAGCATTCCCCATGCGAACAACATTAATGTTTGTGAAACACCTAACGTCCACAATTTTTTCCCAATTCCTTTTATGCCTGATAATGAGCTACCCACCCCTGGATTTCTCATAGAAAAGCTTAGCATCCAATACCCCGATTTCACTATATACTCACCATATTTATTGCCAAACTAAATTTGGCTATCTTTTAGTCTTCTAAAGCTAAGTGATATGGATAAATATAAGACTGCACTCATATTGTGGAAAATACAATCTCAATCTCTCTTCATTCCAAGTCATCATATACACATCAATTAATTCACCCATAACCATGTTATTGCCAACCTCATCACTATAGGCTAACACATTCTTGGGAGTTTCATATGCTATCCATTTGTTAGCTCGCACCCTGATATTATTGCCATCCCTTACTTGCCAAATTAATCCTTTTTGAAGGACAAATTGACTCTCCTTGATACTACGCCATATATAATTAGGATTGGATCCTATTGGGGCATCCATAAAATCAACATGAGAAAAATAACATGCCTTAAGAATTTTGTAAGCAAGCGTAAGTGCCTTTTTCTGCAATTGCAAACCTTGTTTTGCTAGCATAGCCAAATTGAATTTCTTTGTATCCTGAAACCCCATACCACCATAGTGTTTTAAGATACACAAAGAATTCCAACTTTTCTAATGAATTTTTGTTGCATTTTCTATACCACCTCACCAAAATTTTGCAATTGTCGAATCTATCTCACTACATACAGAGTCAGGCAATTTGATGTAGCTCATCACATAAGTAGGAATCACCTGAGCTACTACTTTGATCAACACTTTACGCCCAACAATGAAAAGCAGCTTGTTCTTTCAAGAGTGGATCACATAAGAATTAGTAACTGAAGTAATGCATCTCATTATCATCTCAATAAACATACTTGAGAAACCTAGTTTTCCAAGATGGCTCGTATAAAAACCCATTCCACCTTATCATCAGCCATACTCATATCAATTTTGATGGAAAAATTGCTAGTCTTACCCAACCTCTTATTATGTAAATAATGTCTTACTTCATGCGTAGCAATGACGTTATTAGAGATTAGTCTCCCAGGGACAAAAACACTTTAATAATCAGAAATAATTATAGACAAAATAGGTTCAACTTGTTGGTAATTACCTATCGTAATGTTAGGGTCCAAGAACTTGATAGCTAGACGTGGATAACTTAGGGAGTCATCACCAATCTTTTTTTTATCATAGGTGTGATTGGCTACCTATTAAATTGGTTCTATTCGATAGAGTTCTAAATCAACTTTAGATTCATCTAAAGAATAACAAACTAGTCTATATATTTTACTTAAAGTTGAGTTCGGAAGTACGGTTGCACACAAGGAAGGATTAGCACCCCTATGACGTCCGTTCCACGAACAATATCACTTAATCATATATTATCCTAACTTATTGATTTTTTTTATGTTTCCTTAATTTGATTTATCTTTTATTAAAATGTTTTATTTGATTATACGAGTATGACATGTGCATGATGCGATTATGAAATGCATGGCAAAAAATTCGAGTAATGCCAAACGAAACCTCTTATTGAAAAAATTTCTCGAATTCGCCCATCATACTGGTGGGATCCGAGAATATCATTTCACCTAGGGAATTACCAGGAAAACTCACTTTCGTAAGTTTAATAAGTAAATCCCATTATCGGGGTAGTCGTTGCAAATAAAAATAATATTTTTCGTGAATGCAAACCTATTATGAGTGGAGGCCTTTTATTAAGGATACTCTCTGAGCCTTCCCATCATACTGGTGGGACTCGAAGGTGTATTTTCACTTAAAAATTTTTTCGAAAAGACTTGCTTCTGCAAGCTCCCTCAAAAAGTTCTATTATCGGGACTTATACTCATATACAGAATATATCCATATGCCACGACATTTAACAATGCAATAAAGGTGCGTGATGCACTCATAATTCTAATATTTGTTTCTTATCTTCTAAAATTTTACTATTTTTCTTTGTAGGCATATATATCATGAACAAATATTTTATGTTTATTTATTGTTTTTATATAAATATTTTTATTTCATCATGTACTTTTGCTATATAAGTGCTTACTTATTTTACTATATGGACTTCCCTAAAAAATTTTCTTCAATTCAATATTTGATAGAAGAGTACTTAGATTAAATTTGACATGATTGTGCTTAGAAGATTGTTGAACACCATCATTAATAGAATTATGTTTACTTAGATCAAATTCGACATGATTGGGCTTAGAAGATTGTTGAATACCATCACTAGTAGAATTATGTTATTGTTGGCTAGCACTTGAGTCTTGTGAGATAAATTTTTGTATTTTAAAATATCTTTTTAAGAATTATTTATCCAAAAACTTGTTAAAAATTACTACTCATTTCTCATTAGCACAAACTAAATTATTAGACTTAAATAAAATATAATCTTGCATAGTAAATTATCAAGTTCAACAACTAACAATTTGACAAAATTTTATTCATTGATCAAAACTAACTATAAGCATCCACAAACAATATTAAGTTAAATGGCAGAATCAAATAATTAAACAATATGTTTATAAAATAAAATAAAAAATTCATAACTTTAATATATTATTTGACATTCAATACTATTTTTTGTTAGTTAGATTATAACCCTAAACCCAAACTATCAAATTAATCAAAAAATATTTAGACATGATATATTTAAAAACTTAATTTGGATTGAAATTTACTTATAATTGAAACCGATATGAGTTGTTTTGTTGAAAATTACTTACAATTGAAACCTAGATAAATTGTTTTTAGAAAGTAAAAAACACAGTCAAGGACCGAGAAGAGTAAGACTTGAATTTTTGAACAGTGAGAGTACTTTAGGCTTTGATTTTTTTTAATCAAATCTTAAACTATAGAAATTTTTTTATTTTTTCATATAGTATTTAAATATTAATATATAAATTACTTTTTGATAAATCTATTTTCACTTGGAATCTTTGACCTCATTCCTCACAAAATTGTAAAAAATTGATGAGTTCATTAATATAGTAACTAAATAAAACTCTAAATTAGTAATATAACAAGTAAACAATTTTAGTAAATGAGTGTTGTCATGTGACACCACTCCTTCTAAGGTAGGTCCACCCTTGCCTTCTGCCATTGATTGTGAATCATCCACTTGTTAGATTCCATTCGTATAATTATTTTCATCACCCATTCCTTGAGATTGAGCCTGCTTTAATATTTCACTAACCGTGGCTGAAGTGAAACGACCACCACTGCCCCTTTTACGTTTAGGTTCCACCCCCTGCGGATGAACATCCGAGTTCTTCCATTGGACCCTCGAATTTAATCCCCACGGCCTTTCTTCTTTGTGGGGCTATTAGAAAGGCCCCATATTGTTTTTGAACCTCCGTATCATTCTCATCGAGGCATGGTTGGTTACATCTCTGTTCATGATGCCCAATAATGGCACACCTAAAGCAAAACTTTGATAGCCTCTTATATTGAAAGGAAATCCACTTGACTTGACCGTCATTCATTTGAATCATAATTCCTCTCCTTAAGGGTTTTGTTAAATCAGTAAGGACCTTAATGGTACTCTAGTATTACCATTTCTTACTGCAAAGCCATTTTGTAATCTCCTCTAGTTGAGGAAGGATTGATCACTATCTCACAGTGAGATAAAATAACACAAAATAACAACTTTGCAACATGAAATTACAATGAGAATAGCAGAGAAATAAAGGCGATGTTCAAAGGCAGTCAAAATTAACTACAATCATGCTTGTTTATTTCTTATGTTTCTTCTCCAATCTACTCGGTGATTGACATATTATTATGCTAATTGCTCAATAGCCATGCTTGCAGGGACTATTACACTGTTGGAGGAATTTCTTCGCATCCATTGCTAAAAAATGCTAATCATATTATAGTATATTCTTTGACGACAAGGCTAGCGGACATCAAATCTCCTTCTAGACCTCTTCAACCCCAAAATGACAAGCAGCATTCCAAAATAATCGTAATTGTAAGCAGTCTCGAAGAGTTCCAGTTTGTAGTTATTCCATGGAGGAAATCTAAACCAAAAATCAGTGAGGAAGCTTCTTCTGACGACTGCCTTGTAGTGACTAAATGTGTCAAAGGAGAATTTGCCATGGTAGTTCCCAATCCCACTTTCACCGATCCCCCCAAATGGAATGGTATCAGCTGCATACTACATTTGATTTCATCCAGAACAACACATTTAAACAAATCAAGGAAATGATTAGAGCTGAGCGGAAAGAGCTAGCTTAGCCTTAAACTCAAAGCTAACCAACCTACTATACACTTTGATGACTACCACTTATATTTTCAGTAAATTTTCTTCCTTGATTTTAATTACTTGAGAAATTAAAATACCTGAATGATTGCATCATTAAATACCACAGCTCCGGATGATGTTTGGGATACCATTCTCCTCCTAAACGCTTCATTCTTGGTGAAGGCATATATTGCGAGCGGTTTAGGCCTTGCATTAATAAAGTCAATGCTGTCTTCAATCTTATCCAACTGTCAGCGAAAAAACCCAAGTGTTCAAACACCATCTTGAATGACTAGAAGACAAGGGACTGACTGCTACTGTCAACTACTTTTGTTTCTTGAGCTAAAAGTATAAATGTGTTTTAAGTGCATATATACAGATCTTACTGTGATTATTGGAAGCAGTGGGCCAAAGATCTCTTCTGTCATTATGGTTGAGTCACGTGGGGGATCCACCAGTATTGTTGGCTCAATGAACCTGCAGGGAATTGAGTAAGAGAGTCAAAAAGGCAAGCAATTTAAAAACAGAGAGAGAAATGGGATCAATATTATTGGGGCATACTAGTAGTCAAGAAATTAAGCAGAACATGAATAGGGTCTTATGTTCCAATTTTCCTAATTATCCGTGATCTAGACAAACAAAAGAAACTGTTAATCATGAACCTGTATCTTCAGCCCACTAATAGTTCAAGCTTTTGCAATTGCATTGAAAAGAATGAACCATGTATAGCTAGATAGAATAGAGAGTGGACAAGTTACAAGCTGTCTTCATCCATTGAACCGCCGTAGACAATGGAGTCTTTAACCATTTTATCTGTCAGAAGGTTTTTCAGTCTCAAGAAATGATGTTTGTTAACTATCCTTCCAACACTCTGTGATTCAAGAGGGTTATCTCTGTACATTTTCTTGATTAAGACCTTCATCAACTCCACCTGGAAAAAAATGGGGTACACTGAATTTAACAATAGTATTGCTATTAACAATAGGATGAATAAAATGGATTCGAGTTGACATACCACAGCAGATGAAAATGCCTTTTCCACTAATAGATAATCAACTGATATACACGCTTGGCCGGCGCAAGATCCATATTTTGCCCCAATGATTCGATTTACAGCCACCTTGATGGAATAGCACAGAACTTAATCACTGAGCAGCTTGGAATAACAGAACTCATTATAATAAAAAATGCACGAAAATTCAAGCTCCATATTACCGCATCCTCTTCTCTTCGTATAGCAGGAATTATATGAGTAGGAGAGTGCATCTCAACAGCGCCAACCTTCTAGGGGCGTAGAAATAGCACTCTCCAATTCGTATAACTGATGATTAACAGTAATTAACTTTGCAGCAATTTAAATGGTTCATTCATTTCTGCAGGAATCATATATAGTCTCAAGTAATTTTATTCACAAAATCTACCTCTTTGTCCCAAGACCAGGATAGCGAATCAAGGACAGCCGGGCATTTTCCACCCAGCTCGAGAGTAACTGGCGTTAGATGCTTTGCAGCTGCTGACATTACTATTCGCCCCACTCTTGCACTTCCTAGCGTTAGTTTAGTTTATACTTTTAATATTCCGAAACAAAAAAATATGTAAAGCAATTGACAATATTCAGGTAGAAAAACAACTTTGCCAGAAAAAAAAAAGGTTATCTTTTCGTTAACAAATTAAAAATAGGCTCTTCAACAATTAATTAAATGGTCATCGAACTCAGCAGTCATATATACCTGTGAAGAATATCTTGTCCCATTTTTTCAGTAGCAGTTGTTCACCAACAGCTGGACCACCCTCAATGACCTTGATAGTTTCATTGTCAAGGTAATTGGGGAGGGTATTAAAAAGAAGAGAAGAACATGCAGGGGCCATCTCTGATGGCTTTAAAACCACAGCATTTCCTGCAGCTATGGCTCCTAATAAAGGCTCCAAGGAAAGTGCTGTTTTATATGCAACAAAAACATAACAATTTTGAGGTTGTTAAGCTCTTCTGGAGAATAAAAAAAATTAAATCTCATTTGGGTTTTAGCTTTTCAATATTCCTGTAAAACAACGAGAAAAACTTTCTTTACTAACCCAAGGGAAAGTTCCAAGGTGAGATAACGAGGACAAGGCCAAGAGGCTCAGGAACCAATTCAGCATGTGAAAGCAGTGCAATCATAGGAAGTTTAGCCTGTTTAACCACAATCACGAAACAAACATGGAGGTCAGTATTATGGTATGCACGCATTTCCATCAGTTGAGTTCTAACAGGGACCTTTGCTATCTTAATTTCTTAATTTCGTGATAGAATCGGATTGTTTGACACTGCTTTTAACCAAGCAATTGATGAATCTGAAAATTCGAATTTGACACAGTTAACAACGTAAAAGAGCAAACCTACTGTTCATATTTTAAATGAAAAGAGTGTTAGAATAATTAGAGCCATCAACTAATGGTAAGCTTTGCACATCTAATTCAGTCAGTGTGATTTGGTGGTTGTTTAGGTCTTGACCTAATAAGCTTTTAATGGAAAAGGTTTTTTTGTTTATTTTATTATATATATTTAGATAGTTCCTTCTTTCTTTCTAAGTTACAGTGTTTGCCTATTGTGAGCTATCATAAATAGAGGAGAAGAGCGAAGACAAAGACTTAGCCTTTACCATAAATTCTTTACTTTTCCGTTGCCAACAATGACTACTTCAATGACACAAACAAATATGCAATAATAATTAAATTAATTTGGTGTTCTAATCTTCACACATTAATTCAAGATTCAACTTACATATGATATCAGACTTACTTGTTTGAAATTATTACCCAACAAAAATTTAAGAATTTAATAAATTTACTTTATAAAATTGCATGTTGGGCATACTTTTTGGATCGCCAGAATCCTATTTTCCAATTATCAATAGGGCTTTTGTTCATCATAATGCATAGATCAATTTAGTACAAACCTTTACTCTTAACTCATATTGTAAACATAGGAATTAGATAGTGAAGTTTCAAATTTGAATATATAATCCGAAATCGAGTTCATGATTAATCACTTATATTTTATGTGTTTTAATTTAAATTGGCATCTTAAAATTAACTTTCCTGTATTATAGAGTTGATATCTAAGGTTTAATTACATAAAATATAAGTGTATTGAACCGATTTTAAAGAAATTCCAAACGAGTTAAGAATAGGTTTTTTGAAATTAATTTTCTTGATGATTGATCTTGGTTTTGTAGTATTTGGAGTGTTTTGATGCATGAGTTTTGTAAAATTAGATTCTAATTAAGTTTTGACAAATTTAATTGCATTAAAAATGAGCTGAAAATCAAGAAAAATAGAGAAAACTTCCAAACAGACCTGAACGGGTAAGGTTCAGCTTTAGACGGGTAGAGCTAACCATACAAGAGGTAGAAGAAGGCTGAACTCGACACTTGGATGAAACCCACTGTGAAACCCCACCCTAATGTGGGATTGCTAGGTTAGAAATTCTTAGATGAACAAGTTAAATTTGTGTTTTAAAAACTTAAAACTTAGTTTATACTTAGAAAACCTCATGTTTTAATGTTTGAAATGATATACAAGGTTTGGTTTGAAATGGAGTCCAATTGGACAAGGTATTTGCCTTAAGTTTTAGCTACTAGAATTTATATATCGATAGATGTTCTTCATTTGAAGTTAGAAATGATTCGGATGAAAATCTATTGATTGATGTCCATCATCTATCAATAAATATAGATCCACAGTATCTATCGATAGATAGAAACTCGAGAACTTTTAAAAAGAATGCTGAATCCTATCTATAGATAGATGCTCCTAATCTATCAATAAATGACACTATTTCTAAAAAACTATAAGGCAAAATGATAGTTTTCATCTAAAACTACAAGCATGGCACATTCTTTGAGGGTTAGCAACCCTCGGCTGTATTTTTGTTAGGTAAACTCCTCTTAGAACCCGTCTCAACTCATTTTTACATTAAATCATCATTTTTAATTGTTTAAAGCTTGGTTCTTTAACTTTATGATAAAAATGACATTTTTTAAGTTCTAAAAACCTTAAAGCCATTTAATGGTTTGAAAAATTTGTTTCTTGGCCCAAAAATTCTATTGGAATATTAGAGTTAAAGGTTTTGTGATTTTTCAAACCATTTAAGCTCATTTAAGGTAAAAGTAGAAGATTTATTAATTTTAGAATGGGTTTAGTGAGAGAAAATAGACTTAGTCAAAGGCAAATAACTTTTGCAAGTTCCTAGAATAATTAATATGAGATTGTTAGTTTAGAAATTGATTGCTATGATTATTGTGTATTAGGAACAATCGAAAACTTCGAGGAAATCACTAGAGAAAAGATGTGATTGGGTCTTCAATCGAGGTGAGTGGATACACTACATTCAAAATTATTTTGATAAGTAAAACTGAAGCATGAGTTAAGAAAATTTATTGAGTATAATTTCTACAAATGTTTATGAAATGAAAATAATTGCGGATGAGAAAAATATTTTAGAATTTGTTTTGCAACTTACTATGTATTTAGATATTCTATTATGTATTAGTTTTCAAAAGGGGGGCCAAGCACCTTATTAATTGAAGCACTTGATTACTCCAGTCTTCAAACTACTGTAGGTACAAGATATGATTTATGATTAATGCATGTATGCTATGATGTGTATGTTAGATATGTCGAGGCATGAAATGTGTGATGGATTGTATGATGATTTTCCATTTAAGATGATATGTTTATAAATATAATGTGTATTCCATATACCGCATGAGGTGAATGATAAAGCATGTTGAATGCCATGAGATTACGTGTGCAATGTATGTTTTCCATACTACATGAAAAAATGGAATAGGCATGAGAAGATGCCATGAGATGAGCATATGATGTAAATTCCATATACATTATGAGATAAGTACGCATGTAAGTGATGGACATTCCACATACCAAAAGCTATGAGTATAAGAACTCAACGAGTGAAATTGATTCCACTCATATGGAGTGCACTGATGACTTCACTCGTATGATGTATCATAAATGCCCAAGGTGAAATGGAGTTATATGCTGTCGACCCAAGGTTGATGGGGGTCAAACTATCATAATGTACAAATTTTAATGATAAAGGAATGATGATGATTGCTATGTATATGAAATGTTGCATGCTAAGTTCATTAGGGTTTTATCTATGATTTATACTTTATGATGGCATAAGGATGTGCTTGGTGAAGTAAACTAAACCCTAAGGATAGTCTCAAGAGGTAAGGGGAATTAAGGAAGGGTGAAAATGCAAAATTTTGCCTAGAAAACAAAGTTTCAGATAGAGCTATCTATCAATACATGTAAAACATTTATCAATAACTAGTAGACAAAATGAAATAGAAAGCATTCTACTTCAAATTTATCAATAGATGAGTTACAAAATTGTATGTTTTGACTTGTTTGAAGGTTTTTCAAAGGCAGAAAGGTTTTTGAAAGTTATGTAAACTTGTTTTCATTTTTCATGCAAATGCTATTTAAATTGCGTTTAACTATCATGTTTCATAAACTTTATGATTACATGATTTATGAATGGCACGGGATTTCAAGTGTATGATTATGAAATATTCTTATCTCCTAACTTGTCCCTTTTTTATTTTCACTTACAAAGTCTTTGTGACTCACAAGTTATTTTCCTCACTTATTTTTTGTTGTAGATCAATAATAACACACTCTTGCTAACAACTAATATCACGAAGACATGATCTACTCATTCCTCATTGGTAAGTGTCTAAGAGCCACTTGATTCCTAGTGAGTCGGGTCTTGTTTCACTAACAAGTCGATCCTTACCTTATGTTTATACTTATAGACTATGAACATGTTTATGTTAATGTTGCCAACATGGGGCATTTTATATTGATAACGTTATGTATAAGATTATGATGATGACTCGAGAGCTTACATAAACACTCGAGGGTGTTGTTGACCTTTAGGTGACATTTGGTATTTTACTGAAAATGTGATTATTAGATATGTGATTACTGAAAATGTGATCGTTGTGAAGATAACTTTATAGCGTTTGGTATAATATAAGAAAGTGATGATTACAGAAAATGTAATTGCTGAGAAAATTATATTGTAGTGTTTGGTTTGGAGGTATATTACTGAAAATGTAATGTAAATTTCTAAAATTACCTTTATATATAAAAATATAAAGTTGAATTAATTTATATTATTTTTAATATAAATTTTTAACTTTTCAATTTTATTCTTAAAATAATACGTAATAATATGATAAAATAACATGATATTTGAATATTAATTATTTAAATATTAAAATATATGAAATTATAAAATATTTATTTTTAGTAAATTAGTTAAGTTTGAAAAAATTAAATTATTTAATTTAAATTTTTTATAAATAAATTAGTTAATTTAAATAACTAATTAATTAGTTAATTAATAAATTTAATTAATTTTTTTCTTCAACCTCTAGGTTCATTTTTCTTTTACTTTTTCTTGTTCTTTCTTTTCTTTTTCTTTTTCCTTGCACTCATCATCAAATTCAATAGTCCTAGGCAATTCAAATTCCATTGACAACAAACACCCAACACAAGCAAAACAACAACAGTCTCTAATCAAAACGTCATTAGCAGCAAACCAAGACAGAAAAGAAAACAAAGACATGAAATCAATTGCCCAACTTCAATTAGTAATGAATTATTAGATTTGATAGACAATCTGTAAAACTTCAACTTCAAACAATTAGATTTGATATTTGTAAAACTAGAGAATATGAACCATAAACCAACTAGCCAACAATAGTAGATTTGATTCAAGTGAGCGGCTATAGCAAAAAGAAGAAGATGATGAGGAGAAGGAATACAGGTCAGTGTCTAGGGCAAGAAGAAGAAGAGAAAGGTCAGGTTGTGGTAGGAGAATTTGGGAAGGAAAAAAAAATGTAACTTTCGCTCGACAAATGGAAAGTTACTTTGCATTTCTGATGTAAGGGAATCACGCACCCTTTGCCTATTGTAATGACATTACAATGGGAACACTTTACAATCTATTTCAGAAAAACCAAACATTGCAATGTGAATACGTTCATTTAAAATACAAGGACTGTACCTCACATGCAACATAGCAAATGCCCCTTAATGTTATTGTGCACTGTGATAGTGGCACTTGTTACTATATACAAAATTCTTGAGTTTATA